ACTTTAATGTTTGATACTAACACGTTTTGTATTTGTTATCTTGTTCACTCTTTAATACTTTAATTGTTAAATGATTAATCTAGATTTATGTTGTATAACACTTGGTACAACAAATACATGGCACTCTCATAACCCATACTATATGGTATAACCGACACCTAAGCTATGAAAGGAACTTGATTTGTTGTTAACATAAGTTATAATCATGAATGCCTGACGAGATTTACAAGTATTAGCATTAATCGAATAAGATAACTAATGTGATCATGTTAACAATTGACAATCTGATTGGAACCTCCTTTGTGTGTGGTTTGTAATTGAATAATAAGAGTTTATTGTGGTTTGCAATTCAATAATAAGAGTTTATACTATACTTGTTTGACATACCATTAGTGGAACCTCTAACCTTGGCATTTGTTATTATCATTGTTTAATCCTTACGTTAATCTTCCATCTCAAAGTTCTCATCAACTTCTTCTTCTTCTTTCTCTTTATTACTACTACTACTACTACTACTATTACTACTACTACTACTACTATTATTATTATTATTGCTACTAATATTGTTGTTGTTGTTACTGTTGTTGTTGTTGTTTATAATTATTGTTTATATAATTTGTATAATTAACCTCCCTATGGTTCGACCCCGGTCTTGTCGGGTTATTTATTACTTTGACACTCCTGCACTTGGGAGAAGACATCAATTTTTTGGTCGTGTCAGAAACTATAAGTTCCTAGTGACCATAATATTATATGGTGACTTTTAAAAATTAATCATAGTTTTTCCAATACAACACCCCACAACAGGAGGCATAACAAAGAGCCTCCGCCATCGTCTGATGACGTCGCCCCCGTGACAGGATGACGACTCCACTAGGGAAAGCCATGTCTAGTCAAACTAAGTTTTGCTTGTTTGATTGTTTGTCTTTTTGTTGGTCTTTAACTTTAGCTCATATTTTTACTACTTTAGCATGCATTTTAATTTTATGAATAAACCTAGTTCTAGGTTGGGTGGGGAGTAGCGGTCTGCCTTATGACTTTCAGTCAGGGTTCAGATTCGTGCACCAGCCCTTGCAGTCATTGATCTATTTGCCAATGAGTCCCACAAGACCAAGTCATCTAGTGACATTGATCAAGATAAAATGGTGGCATTGGAAGCTCGAATTAGAGCTATTGAAGGGGTAGACTTGTATGATCCAGAGCGGGTAGTAAAAATGTGTTTGGCCCCAAATGTAGTTGTCCTAAAAAAGTTTTGCATTCCTGAATTCATTAAATACACTGTAACACAATGCCTCAAAACACATTTAAAATCCTACTGCAACAAAATGACAGAAGTAGTACACGATGAGAAATTACTTATGCATTGTTTCTAGGATAGCTTGAGTGGGGCAACATTGAGCTGGTATATGAGATTGGACAACATAAAGATCCAAAAATGAAAAGACTTAGTGGATGCTTTTGTCAAGCAATACAAGTATAATATGGACATTGCTCCTAATAGAACCATTATATCGAACCTAAAGAAAAGGGAGAAGGAAACCATAAGGGAATATGCTCAAAGATGGAGAGTCCTGGCTGCTCAAGTACATCCCCTACTTTTGGACAAAGAGATGGGACTCTATTTGCCAACATGCTCAAGGCATTATACTATGAGCATGTGATGGGTAGTTCAGCCTAGCAATTTACTAACGTTGTGGCAGTAGCTGAGCATATAGAGCAAGGAGTAAAAAGTGGTAAAATATATGTGCTCATTGAGAAAAGAGGCTTTGAGGGTAAAAGAAAGGAGGTCGATTATGTTGAAAGTGGTAATAAAGGTAGGAAGAACCCCTTCCAAAACTATCACGCTCTATCCTCTTCATCCCAAATCACCAACATTAATTTCAACTCTTCTTTTCCTACCAAAAAACCTAAGCCTCAGACTAAACACCAAAGAGTCCAATAACAACTACCTTCATTATCATTGCCCTTAAATAAGATATACCAAAAGCTACTAAGCATTGGGTGTGTAGCTCCTGAACCTCTTACGCCACTACAACCACCTTATCGTAATTGGTACAAGCTCGACCTTACTTGCAAGTACCATGCTGGCGTCGCAGGACACAACATTCATACTTGTAGTGCCTTCAAGAAGAGGCTCATGCATTTGATTAAAGCTGGATGGATAACCCTCGAAGGAACTCCAAATGTGAGTACGAACCCTCTACCCCATCATGCTCCAGGTATTGGATCAATGAATACATTAGAGGTGGAATGCTCTGAAAACCTTGAAACACTAATGGCAAGAGTAGGGGGCGAAGAAGACAATGTGCATTCTCGAGGATAGAGGATGAAGTTCTGCCACAAGATGGGAGGATGGAAGCCTGCCCAATTATTGCCTTTTACTTAATCATGTTTGTTTTAACTTATTGGCAATTTGGTTTATAATGCTACAAGACTTTCCTTGTCAAATGAACCTTTCTTATTAATAAGATCATGTGTCTTGCTATGTTCATAACGTGCCTTCATTTTTATTAATGAAAATAACACACTAAGAACACCTTTTACTCACAAAACCACTGCACTAAGAATTCTTTGGTATTTTCCTTGTTTTTCTCTCCAAGGAACAAACACAACCCCATGTTTTCAAAAAGAGTTTTGGGGAATCAAAGTTTTAATAAAAAACAAAAATCAAATTGATGTTTGTTCTAATAACAAGTTTTGAAAATTCAAGTGATATCTTAACACTTAAAAAAACCTGAAAGACAACCCAAACACCTGAGATAACTTCAAAGTTGAGTTTTGACTGCATGAATAATGACAAAATCATTTTGCATATTCGCATATAAAAAAGTAGAACTTATCGATTCTAACTGCATGCATTTGAAATGAAAAAAGGTCATCTTTGATCATCCTTTCACCATGCTAAAAATCCCTTGTAATTCCCTTTGGAGCCTAATAACTTTCTCTTAAAAAATAACCTTGGCAAGGATCACACCGTACATTGATGGGCAAGTGCAAAAAAAAAATTTTCCTTAATGACTAAATCAAAAGTGCCCAAACAACAATAGGGGGTATGAAAGAAAATCCTCAATGATCAAAAGTGCCCAAACAAAGCTAGGGGGCATGAAACAGTTTCAAAAAGATTTGAGCATGCCATAAAAATTACTAATATAAGGATGCTCAAAACCAAAAGAAGAAAAGCCCAACATTGGGGGGGGTTGTGGACCATTTTACAAATTAATTCCAAGGTCCAAAAAGAGTCTGGTGATATAAGTACTAGTGATCCTTATTCTTGAAGTCCAGTAAACACCTTCTAAGCCCATAAATATGCTTTTTCTTCATAGCTAAGAGCTAAAGCCTATGTTATATGCCCAATTAAGCCTTTTATGATCAAATACGGGCAATTTGGATTGGTAAAATTTGTTTTTCCATGTGAAACAAGTCATTGTTCATAAAGCAAAATGAATGCTTTGAAAACTGGTTCTTTGAAACCCTCAAATTCAAGCTTGAACCCTTTTGACTAATTAAACATTAATTCACTTCTCCAAAAGCAAAACAAAAATTTTTCAACACATGTAAATATGTGGATGGAAAAGTAAGGCGTAGGCCTACCTATAACTTACATGGGAGCCCAAGATTTAAAAAGTCCATTTTCAAGTCCAAATTGTAGCAACAAGGAAGAAGTTCGAATCTGTCCTACAGCTCGAACACTATTTAGTGTTTAGCCCATATCTGGAGTTCTAGAATCCAAATGATCTCTAGTTTTTTCCTATAAAGTTAAGATAATTTCCTACAACTTTTATGTTTTCAAGTGGTTCCAATTCTGACGTTATCAATGATGTTTTGGGCAAACAAGAGAAGATAAGGGTTGTCACAAAGTCAAGAGTTGGCCACCCACTTATTAATTAGTCATCAAATCAATAGTTCTCAATTTTGGCCTATAAAAGAGGTATTTGCTATGCATTTAGGCATCTTGGTCTCCAGATCAAGATCATGCTTTTGCTTTCTCTCTTTTTATTTTTGTAATGTTTAAGTTTTGTTTTCTTTTCAGATCAAGATCATGCTCTTCCTTTCTCTCTTTGTATTTTTTATGCTTTGTTTTCATTAATATTAAGTTTATGCCTTTCATTTCCTTTCCTTTACTTAGTTAACTTTTATGTTCTTATTTTGTTTATCTATTTTGTTTTCTTTCATTATGTCTAGCTAAGTTAGTTATGTCAAGGTGAAAAGGTTACACTAATGGTGTAAGAATAAGTATAGTGTAAACTTAATATGGACTTTAATGTTTGATACTAACATGTTTTGTATTTGTTATCTTGTTCACTCTTTAATACTTTACTTGTTAAATGACTAATCTAGATTTATGTTGTATAACACTTGGTACAACAAATACTTGGCACTCTCATAGCCCATACTATATGGTATAACCGACACTTGAACTATAAAAGGAACTTAATTTGTTGTTAACATAAGTTCTAATCATGAATGCCTAACAAGATTTACAAGTATTAACATTAATCGAATAAGATAACAAATGTGATCATGTTAACAAGTTATAATCTAATTGGAACCTCCTTTGTGTGTGGTTTCCAATTGAATAATAAGAGTTTAAACTATACTTGTTTGACATACCATTAGTGGAACCTCTAACCTTGGCATTTGTTATTATCATTGTTTAATCCTTACGTTAATCTTCCATCTCAAAGTTCTCATCAACTTCTTCTTCTTCTTTTTCTTCTTTATTACTATTACTATTATTATTGTTGTTATTGTTGTATTATTATTAACTATAATTTATACAATTAACGTCCCTGTGGTTTGACCCCGATTTTATCGGGTTATTTATTACTTCGACACTCCTACACTTAGGAGAAGACATCAATCTTTTGGTCGTGTCAAGTTTTTGACGTCGTTGCCGAGAAGGTAAGTTCTTGTACAAATTATAGTATTTATTTTATCTTCTCTTTTCACCTTTCTTGTATTTAACTTTGTTTCTTTTGTTTTTTTTCTTCTTCTTTTGTTTTCTGTTTCCTTTTATTCTACTCCTACACGTGCATAAGAGTGTGGTCACGTACATTAAGTGGTAGACTTTGTAGGATATCCTCATTTTTTTCAGAAAATATTACCGAAGAAGATAATCAATCACTTCATAATGAGAATAATGAGAATAACCATGTTAGAATACTTAGAGACCACATGAATCCCACAAAAACAAATGTACCATCATGCATAGTTTTCTCTCCTGATGCATCTCATTTTAATTTTAAGCTAAGCATTATTGAACTTTTACCTTCTTTTTATTGCTTAGATTTAGAAAATCCATACATACATTTAAAGGAATTTAAGGAGATTTGTAATACCTATAATAACTCAACTTGTAGCATGAATACCATCAGATTAAAGCTTTTTCCTTTTTCATTAAAAGATAAAGCTAAAACATGGCTATAAAATTGGAGACTTGGATCCATTCGTGCTTGGGATTAAATGCAACAACAATTTTAAAGAACTTTTTCCCTTCTCGTAGAACAAACTCTTTTAAAAGACAAATCACCACTTTCACTCAAAAATTGAGAGAAATATTTTATCAATGTTAGGATAGATATTGAGACTTGCTTAATACTTGCCCTCATCATGGTTTTGAAACATAGAGATTGGTTTCACATTTTTATGAAAAGTTAACATTTAGAGATAGACAAATGATTGAATTAATGTGTAATGGAACTTTTGAAGATAAAGACCCTAATGAAGCAATAGAGTACTTAGACTTGTTAGTTGAAAATGCTCAAAATTAGGACACTATAGGTACTTGTGAGGTACCGAGTAAAACTCAAGCTCATACATCTAGTAGAGGTATGTATAACCTTAGGGAAGATCATAACCTTCAAGCCAAGTTTGCATCTTTAGCTAGAAAAGTCAAGGCACTAGATTTGAAAAAGAGTGGTCAATTAAAATCTATTCAAAACATTATGTGTCAAATCTGTGAAACCAATGAACACTCAACCAATAATTGTCCAAGCTTGCCTTCTTTTAAGGAATGTCTCCATGAACAAGCTCATGCTTTAAACAGTTTCCAAAGGCCCAATCATAACCCATACTCGCAAACATATAACTCTGGTTGGAGAAATTTCAGTTGAAAGAGTGACAATGCACGAACTTCACCACCACAATTTCAAGCACACCATAATTTCCAAAATTCTCATGGATATTCACCTTCTTATGCTCTACCTCTTAGAAGAAATTTTGAGAAAACTTTGTATGCATTCATTGAAAAGCAAGAGACAATCAACACTCAACTTGCTTAAAGCATAATAGATTTTAAAGATACTCTTGCAAAATTCACATCTGCTCTTAGTTTTTAAGAGAAAGGTAAGTTTCCATCTCAACCACAACAAAATCTCTTGGGGCAATACAATGCAAATGCAAGTAGTTCTAGAAGTTAACAAATGGATCAAGTCAAATCAGTCATCACTCTTTGTAGTGGTAAGGTTATTTAAAAACCAATTCTTGAACCTTGTAAGAAAGATAATAAGTCAATCTCTAAGGGTAAGGAAAGGGTTGAATTTGAACATTGCAAAGAAAAGACTGATTCCCTGCTAGCACTTCCATTTCCTCATGCCATGACCAATCAGGAAGAAATCGAGGATGAAAAAGGCACCAAAAATATTGATGCGGATCTTTTATCAAAAGTGACAACAGATTCAACACTCGACATTACACCAATCGATGATTACTTTCCTAATGAATCTCTACTTTCTCTTAGTTCAATGCCTTGGTTTGCTAAAAATATCAATTTTCTTGCTTTAGGATTTTTGCTAGCTCACTAGAGTATCGAAGACAAAAGAAAATTTTTGAGCAACGTGTAAAATTTTTATTAGAATGACCCTTACTTATTCTATTATTGTCTTGATCAAATATTTCAAATATGCATTCCCGACAATGAGGTAAGTAATGTCATTAAATTTTATCACGCTAAGGCACATGGGGATCATTTCTCGTGAAAAAAAAGGATTGCAAAAATCTTACAAAGTGGATTTTACTAGCCCATCATATTCAAGGAATCACATGCATTCCACAAAACCTGTGAAAATTGTCAAAAGGTGGGATTTATTTTAAAACACAGATAGTCTTTAAATAATCTTCTATTGACTCTTAAGTCTCATCATAGTTGAGATAAACATTGTGCATCTTATGATTTATGACCCTATTTCCATAAAAAACATGATCGACTTAGTCTTGGGAATCTGACTTAAAAAACCCTGCTAGCTAGTTTTTAAGAAAACTAGATGGGAAGCCTATCATTGACTCATAGAGGGCATTTAAGCCATTCTTGGACATAAAACCAAGGGAAGATATGAGCCATAATTACAACTACCTGTACATACAGATGCTTTTTTAAAAATAAATAAATTAATTAATAAAAAGAGAAAAGGAGAGTGTGTGAGACTCTAGCTAGCCTACATATAGGTGGTATGATTGTCTTTTTAATTTCTCATATATAAAATCTTCTCTTCCTTCCTTTCATTTCTACTTAACCCATACATTCAACAAATATAGAAGTGTGTAGAAATGGCAAGTTCCTCAGGTCATCACATAAGAAATATTTGTGTTTTCAGTGGATCTAGTCCTAAAAAAATGGAGTTTTTAGAATCAGCAAATCATCTTGGTCAGGTGCTAGCTGAGAGAAAGATTCATTTAGTGTATAAGGGGGGCAGTCTTGGGTTAATAGGAGGTATGTCAATAGCTGTATTTTTAGGAGGTAGTCAAGTTGTGGGGGTCGTCCCCAAAGCTTTAGCACAAGGGGATATCATTGGAAAAACAATTGGAGAGGAACTACAGGTCTTCATAATGTCTGCTCGAATGAATGCAATGTTTAACCATGTTAATACCTTCATTGCCTTATCAAGTGGCTTGGGAACATTGGAAGAGATCTTTCATATTTCATCTTGGGCTTAGCTGCATATTCACCATAAACCCATAGGTCTATTAAATGTTAATGGTTATTATGATAAGTTGTTATCGTTTCTTGATCATGTTGTAGAACAGGATTTTCTAACATCTTTGATACGACAAATCATAATCTCTACTACTACTGCTGAGCAATTGATTGACCAACTATAATCTTTCATTCATGTAATTGATCCCTCCATGAGTCGCATAAATTGGTCATTTAAGAAAAGTCATAAAAAGCTTAGATTGAATTTGAATCTTCATTTGTGAATCTTTGTGTCTTTTGCTTTTATTATTGTGCTTTATTGTTTCTTATATTTGTTTAAGTGTGTTTCAGGTTTATCAATGTTTGTTATTTCAGGTGATGTGTTCTATACTCTATCTTTCTACGTTAGGATATTGAGAACAATGTCTCATTTTGGTTGGGGAGAGAGGGTAGTAGTTGATATGAAAAAAACAAAAAAAACTAACTGTGTTCTCTTTTTCATAAACCATTTGCCAACTGTTGTTACTAAGATGGTAGAGTAAGGAGGAATTTTATTGACTCTTAAGATGTATCTTGGTTAACATTTTTCAATGGTTATTTGCAATATTCATAACAAGGATAGATTCAAACTTCTTAATTGTTGTTCAATTTGGACTTAAAAATGACCTTTTTAAATCTTGGATTCTATATGAAAGTTGTAGGCCTATGTCTTACCTTTCCATCCATATAAAATAAACCTAAATCCAAGATCTACAACTCTATATATGACTCAATTACCGAATAGTGTTCCGGTTTGGACTGCATCAGCATCTCTTTTCTAAGTTTGGCCATCTCTTTATCCTTTCAATTTCAGTTCTTAAACTTATCAATCAATCCTTTTATTTATGTGATAGGCTTGCATTTAAGATAAACATTTTCCACAAATTAAAGGTATCTTATATTATTAGATGTATTATTATAAAATATGATTTAGTTAAGGAGTTATTGACACAAGTGCAAAATGATAATATAAAACCTTGATAAAAATGCACTTTTAAGTACTAATCACACCCTCCAACCAACTTATTACTAGTCCCTATTAATCAAAGCGTTAAAATAAAAAAAGAATTTGCAAATTTCACAAAGTAAGGTATTCATCATTCAACTTTCATTAATCTATCCAGATAGACAAACTCTCATGAAATTTATATATTTGCTCAATACCTCTTAAACAAGATATTAATAAACCTTTCTTTTATGCTTAATATATTAATACATAGTTATGGGGCTTTACTTGGAAGAAAACAAATTTTTTGTTCTAATGTTTAAGATTAACTTTCTTGGGTTGGGATTTTTTTCTTCTTTTTTTGTTGTTTTTTAATACACACACACACACACACATGTAACACAATGCATCTTTAACCTATGTAATGAGCTTTTGGTTAATGACTCCTAGACCAGTTGGTCTTAAGGCATTAGGTGTTGAGACACCCCTACGAACTTTGTAACTCAGGTTGCAGTTACTAATACGTAGATAGTGCAATGTTTGATTCCCTTAAAATTTTCTCCTCAAACTATGTAACAAGTGTTGGGCCAATAGCTCCAAAGCTAGTTGAATTTAGGGTATTAGGTGTTAAAACACCCCTTCAGGCTTAATTGCTTAGGTTAGGGAGGTTACGAAACCAAACTTATCTACATTTGTATTATTATCATTTTTTATTTTTTTTCTCTTTTTTTAAAAAAATTATGTACTATTCTTTGCCTTAGTTGTTACCTTTAACAAAAGAATATAAGTAATGTAATAATCCAATGTGCAACCCATAATCATATGTTAAAGTGTGTGTGTGAAAATTAAGGTTTAAGAATACATGTTAAATGAGTATATGAGAAGAATTAAGTGATAACAATGCGAGAGTTTGTAAACCTGAATATTTCAAGAAGTATTATGATAGACCTTGTTATAAGTATTGCAAATAACCATTGAAAAATATTTACTAAGATATGTCTCAAGAGTTAATAAAATTCCTCTTTACTTTGTCATCTTAGTAACAATAGTTTGCAAATGGCTTATGAAAAAGAAAACACAGTTAGTTTTTCTTTTTAATATCAACTACTATCTTCTCCCCCA